AAAGCACATTTTTCAAGTTTACATTTATGTAAGACTTTAGCTTGAAAGATTTTACTAGATTCAACTATATTTAAATTTAAAATCTTGAAATCATCTTAATTCTCTAATTAGTTTATTATTACCCCTAAGTTATATCTCTAACTTCCACTTTTGTGCCCATTTTAAATACACTTCTACTGCTATAATTTTATGAGCTATTTAACTTTCAACAGTGGTAGTATTATTTCCCCCAGATATATTTCCACCAATAATGATCATTCCTCCTTTGTTTAATTTGCATATTATTATACTATTGGTTGAAATTAAATGAGTCAGAGTTGTGAGGTGGAACCATGGTAAGATATGAAAAATATCTCTCACTGTCAGCAGAATACTATTATTAAATTTTTAAAATTTAAACTTCATTGCACATCATAAGGTCACTGACTTTCAGGAATAAGTAGTGCATTGGTAGATTATCTATACCTTCATTACTAGGGAATGATAATATAAAATACTATGACAATGTTTTGAGGATTTGCTGGCATATCTACACAATTCGATTTCTTAATTTCTACTCCTGTAAGAGGACCTAAACTGGTAATGATTAGTGTCATCCAGAAATTAAAATGCATGTACTTGGAAATAGAACTACATATTGCATACTGAACAAAGCATAAATTAAATATTTCCACCAATAAGTTCCATTAAATAGACTTAATGAAAACCTCACAATTTTTGTAGCACTTTTCTCAAATTGAATGCTTGTAGTAGCCATTTAGGACTTGAAAGAAATGTAAGTGAAAAACAGGATATGACTTGTGCTTTTGTAAAATCAGACTAACAAAAATCCTCAAAGTGGATTTATCAGAACATTTACCAGTGATTCCAACGAGGAACTTGAGAAGTACATCTTACTATCAGAGTTCAGATAGCAAAAGGCATCATCATCATTTTGAAAAGGTAGCTCTTCCAAAAGAAAATACTCCTAGAACTTTGTCTTCCCTATAAAAGATAACTTGATGTGATTTTGGCGAGCTTATCAGATATGTTCCTAAAGTTTTAAATTATGTGCCAGAACTAGCACAACAGCGTATAAAATGGCTTTCAGTCCCTCAGTTTGGCTTTTTGAGGAACATCTGTGACACAGTATTAATCATTAGGGATCAATATAGATACCAGGCTTTTTTGAGAAATATGTTTGCTGACCTAAATGCATCTTCAAGTGTGTAAGTACAGGAGGATCATTTATACAAGAATTTTTCTGCAGAATCACATTGGCTCTAGGAATATTCTCATCCCATGTAAATTTTTAGACAACATGCTAAACATTTATTGTGATGGCAGTTTTCATTGCTTCAAAATGGTTATTTTTGCATCTAGCAGCTTAGTCATAATTCTTCACTATGATTATTCTGCATTTATAGATTTTAAAAAACTTTTCTCTACTGTACCATTGTCATCAATAAAAAATTGTAAGTACAGAAGACACCCACAAGAGGAACGTGAGCATCTTCTATTGAGGATTAACAGGTTGGGTATTAAAGTTAGCAAAATTAACAGGTTTGAAAACATTTAGGACCTTTGATCAATTCCTTCAATAGCTTTGAAGTGACCAGAGAAAGTTTCTCTGCAAAAGTTATAAAAGGAATCATCAAACTGAATTTATGTACCTAACTCAAAATTACCAGCAGCCTCAAGTTTACCCATGGATAAGGATATAAAATTATTTTCTGCAGGTTTGCATTAGATTTGATGTATATTTGTTTAGTCACAGAGGAGTTTGTCACTAAATTCTCGACTGCTCACAGAAGCAGATTTGAGATTTAATAGAGCAAAACTATATGAATACCAAATAACGGCTTTGGGTGATTTTAAATGTTAAATTCTCTAGTCTATCTTCCATTATTTCCTCCTTTATGGGATGTGTTCTGTGAATACCAACACTCTGAACCTCTTAGGGACAAAAGACTAAGCACCACACTGTTTGCCAACTGTTTGCACGTAGGGGTAGGAGAAAGGAAAGGAGTGTGGGAAATCGCCAACAGAGGACCATGGAAGGCTGCATGAAGGCTCCAGACCCACTCCTCAGAAGGCACCAAAGAGGGGGTTCAGGAAAGGGGAAGAGGAAGATCTGTGGCAAAGGGCAGTAAGACAAATCACATATGTCTATGGAAAAGAAAGAAACCTGCATCAAGAAAGAAATTATGAAATCCAAGTAGGAGGCTGATGCTTGAGGAAAGATTTTCTGGTTGATTTATGTATTTATTTATATAATATATTAGAACACTTTCAGATAATTTAAAATTATATATACATATATAATTATTTATTTGTTCTCTAGGAATTACAAGCCAACTCACTGGAAGAAAATCTACGTTTAGCTCAAGAGTATCAAAAGATGCAGATGATGTTCTTAACAGAAAAAGATAATTTCTTCAGAGAATATGGTAAACAGCTATCACTCAATGCTGCAGTTAGTGATAAGAAACAGGTATTGATTTTTCTGATTCTCTTTTAAAGTAGAGATTTGTTTTACTTGTATGCTATAACAAGTAGTCTGGGACTCCTTTCTGTGATAAAGGCCCTTATGCAACAAATAATTCCATGTTTTCTGTCTTTGTTGTATTTCTATCAACTTTTTTCACAGCTAAAGATCAAGCCCTGTGCTTCACCTAAACTGAGAAAGTGCTATACCAGGGCCAGGGAGATGGCTCAGTGGAATAAGTGCTTTCCTGGCAAGCACAAGGGCCTGAGTTCAATCCCCAGTTCTACAAAAAAAGAAAAAAAGAAAAGCCCAAATTTCTGAAATTTAATTTTTAAAAGAATTTGAGAGATGAAAATTTTTGTTTCAAATGCACCATTTTATATTAATTTGCTTTTAATTTCCATGACTAAACAATTCCAATTTGTTAGTTTCTGGACTTAAGATTTTTCAACTCTAAATGTAGATAACATCCCACAATGAACTTCTAACATTTTCCTTTTAATATATGTGTTCCTTTAAAAAAAACAAACAAACCTGAGATCAAACCCAGGACCTTGAACTTATGTTGAGAGGTTAGTTTCTTATTTGAGAGGGTAGTTTTCTTAAGGTGAATGTTAATTAGAAACTTGCAATAATAGATGACTCTTTTCGGTTACTGGAGGTCTCTTGGAATTCAAATGTATTTTGTAAAATCATTTGTGATGAAAAAAGCAGAAAAGCAAAACACATAATAAAGCATGAGTGATAAAGAAAAGGCTGCGTTTATAAAGGGTTAAGGCTCAGCCATTCAGTTACCTTCAGACAAGTAATGGCCAGATAACATTTTCATTCACAGCTTTGTCCTCAAAGTTTGAAATAAAAAAAGATTTGAGGCATGATTATTTTTTAACTACTTGTCTAGTCACAACACCCAGCATACTGCTAGTGGAGTTTTTGCCTGTTACTATTTTCTATACTGCTATACCGTGTACATACAAATTACAGTTCAGATCCCACTTCTGTATTCACTTTTTATACCTTTGGAATATGGCAAAGGCAGAAGGCAGGAGACTGAGCGTAAGCTCTATCAAAAAAGAGCGTAAGTTGTACTGGGAAGTTATTTGTCCTTTCTAAACGCAGGTCTTTATCTATAAACTAATATTCGCCTCACAGGGTAATTAGTCAAGAAAAAAAAAAGGCTTCTATTTGAAGTTATTTTGGAAGTAAAGGGAGACTATGTAAATATAAGTACTTACTACATTCACTGCTATGCTGCTTATCAATTCTTGTTCTTCACCCATCTTCTTAGATGGGAGTTAATGCTCCCTAACATAGTATGTAAACTGGGAAAGAAAATGCATTTTTTTCTTTTATTACTTTTTACTGAAATAATTTAAGATGAAAGTAGATCTAGGAATACGTGTGTTTGGGAAAAATCCAAACATACAACCATCTGCTCAAATCTTAGTATCTTTGTTACATAGGATTGAAATAAAGTGTGTTTCATACCTATGAATCATTTTTCCATTCACTTTATGCATTTGACATGATTACTGACTTAAACTTGTTCTACGTGCGGACGATTAAGGAAAAGAAAATAATCAGTTGTCATAGAGAATTTCCTTTTGTATCAAGGGGAAATTTAAAAAACAGTATTGACATGTGTTGCAGCTTATGGAGTCATTTGGGGCAAACATCTAATACATTAGATAATTGCATAGGTAGTGGAAAATCACGAATCTTTAGGGGAAAAAAGCCTCTAGTTTTAGAAGGAATTAATGGAATCAGATTTCCAAAGAGCAAAATCATCTTGATCTATTTCCTGAATTACAGCAGAACGATTACTGGCCAAGTGTAAGGGGGAGAGGCCCAGGTACAAGCAGACCTACAGCGGAGAATGCTGAGAAACGGGGTTTATGTTTGTGAGCCCTCAAACGAATCACATTTAGCACACCTGTTTCAGGGAAACTTTCCAAGATTTATTTGTACTTCCAATCATTTTTCATTTCCATCCTTCAGCGCTGGAGGTCATTAAGTGCAGGCTGCCCTTGTCAGTGTCGTGTAGGATCAATTTGCTGCAATGGACAGAGAGGCCTTATTGATGCTGTTAAATCTGTCAGTGAGAAATCGTATGTCATTAGCGTCTAATGCACTGCTTACAGGAAGGAATTTGGCCATCAAAAGCGAGAAAACCCTTTCATATTTTAGTCCACTTCCTGGATATTGCAGCATTTTCCCTATGTGTAGGCTTTCGTCCTCTGACCTCTTTAGTTCTGGGTATACAGGCGCCGTTCAATCTCTTGTTCACCAGCTGAAATCCCGTCTCATAAAACGGAACTCACTCTGAGTTTTCTTTCTTTTTTTTAATGATTTTTTTCAGAAAGAAATAGCAATGAGAGAGTTTCAAAACAGGTTAGTAGGACAGTTACAATAATTAACATTGCATATTATGGTCTTCATAGTAGTTACTCATAGTACAAGACGCAAATATGATATCTTGTCTAAACACTATTAGTACAAATCTTTCTTCTCATTGAACGAAGAGAAAGTAACTGTATATCTATCCTATTTTGTATATACAGCTATATACTTTTTTCACTACAAAATGGTCTTCCATTTATATCCCTGGCTTTTGTTTACTTTTGTCAGAGATGGGTATTCCCTTACCATTCAAATATTATAGGTGTGTGAATTCAGCAAAGTAATCCAATCTAGACCAGTTGTTCATAATAGTAGTGGGTTATCCGCATGACTGGCAATGTCAGAAGCTGTTGAGTTGAATTTTCTATCTTATTTCTGCTTTAGACTAAGTTCATTATTTTTGAACCTCAAATTTTTGCATGATGAATAACTATTTTTTAGTTATTGTACTTCTTATGGGCTATTACTGTTTTTATGCAGACTATGCATCATTATACTTTGTAGTTTTAGGCCAAGAATATCAAAGAAAGTTTGGTGGAAAATGAAAACAAATTAAAACTAATGTTTCCTTCATTATAACAATTTTAAATATAAAAGATTCAAATGTTATAATGGTAGAATATTATTTTTGGAGATAATAATGTTATCTTTCTTGAGATTTCTTTTTTATAATTTTTTTCTTCCTTTTCACTTCAATCTATTAACAGATGTATGTGGTACAGAATGTTGACATCCCTTTGGGGAAGTTGGCACAAGCACGTGATATGTCAGAGCGCCCTGCCATCCTGGTTCTCTTCCCGCCCTCCCTTCCACCCATCCTTTGATGCCCCTCTTTTGTTTTGCATCTGTCTATCTGGCTGTTTTGGCACACCCTCACCTCCATAATATTTACATTTCTTGTCAAAGGAAGAGATGGAGAGGGGGAGGGTGGGAAAGGACAGGAGATGGAGTGAAAAGTGGAGCTGTGATTTCTTCTGAGGTCAAATGTTTCTTGACATCTTTTTATACTTCTTAAGATTCACAATAGCTGGTACTTTTCACCTTGACAAATCAGAAAGAGGCAAACACAATTATGCCAAATTTGCATTTACCCTGTTCATGGGTAACAATAGAATATAATACATGCTAAAATATCTCAGAAGTCAAAGCTAAAAATGATACTAGAAATGAATGTAGAAAAAATTTGAAAAGCAGGTTTATGTCTATGCAAATATAGACATTGCTTTTATTGTCATTAAAAGATTTAAAATTTATTTTGATATTTTCTTTTAATAATGTCTATGAATATTTTTAAGCAATCACAATGTATTTCTTTCAAATACCACCTGAAGTTCTTCAGTGCACAAAGAAAAGTAAAGTGAGCCAGCATGCAAGTGGTGATGTGGTCTGTTGGTTGAAAACTAGGTCGTTTCCAAAACTGGATTAAAAATGTTTCAAAACTCTTTCACAAACCATTTGTAATGCTTAGTTCTTAACGACACTAAATCCCTGTGCTCTTAAACTAAGGGAATAAAAGTTATTATAGAATCAACAAACAACAAATACATATGTGGACCATGTATTAGTACTATGAAATTTGTAAGTTATGTTTTAAATGTTCCTCAATAATCCTGCAAAATTTTCTTTATCATGATCCCAATATAAGATACAGAAGTGAGGTTGAATATCTCATAGATGTCATCCAAGTAGAAGGAGATTCACAGTGAAGCAATTGAAAATCAAATTTTTCTTACATCCAGCCTATTACATAGTCATAATATTACCAATTTAGTAATAGGTAATATCTTTAAATATTAAATTTTTAAAGAGTGTAAAAACACAAATTACTCAAGAAGTATTTCAAGTCCAACTGAAAAAGATTCTTCAAATAGTTATTTTGGTAGCCTTATTCACTTCAGCCACTGTTTCCATAAATTTTCAGGAGAAAGCACTACCTCTTTAATGAGCTGAGCTCTAATTTCCACAGGGATTATTTATAGGTTTTACAACTCTAAATTTTAAAACTTATGAACTAGGAATATCCTTAGAAGCTCTGTGCTCCTCTTTAAAAAGTAACTTTACAGGTGAAAATTCTTGGAAGGGACAGAATGCCTCAGTGACTTACCACATATACAGTTAAGGACAAGAAAAGCCAATCTGACACAGTTGTCTTATTGCTTTAGTTCCATTCAAATATGTTCTCCAATAAACTGCAGACCAGCATTTGCTACAGTGCTTGGAGGCTTGAGTGAACCAATAGCTGAGAACTAATGAGTGACAGCCACGGATATGTTTAGATGAGGACGCCATCTTTAAATGAAGTAGGTCTGTGAAGGAATCCCACAGGGACAGGAGTCCTAGTGTTGGTCTGCAGTAGAATCCGCTGGAGGTCTCCAAGGACACTTCTGAGCTTCACGAAGCTCAAACACTATTCAGTCATTGAGTTATTCAGAATAAATTATCAACTATCCATATTACTGAAATACAGTAGAGGGTACAGGAATGGGCTGCCTCATCTCTGCCTCCACACTGAGAACTGTGATGTCAAGTCCATGAAAGTCTTTGCTAGACTATGGCATAAAATCTGAGCTCTCCACACTAGCCCCCAACCAGGGAAGAACAGTAAT